ATGCGCCTACGTAACGATTGTGAAACATAGAAGTGTGGAACGTCGAGTTATTTGCATGAACCAAAAATGAAATTTTAGTAACTGAAGTAGGGAGTATTCATCATAATATATAAAAGATAAGCGTTTTGATACTTATTTATTCAGATCCACTAGCCATCCTTTGAGAATACGGTGTTGGAATCCTAAGTGTCCAATGGTGCCAATAGGGTATCTAGCTTGCAACGCTGCCGTATCATCCGAATGCAGCTTCAGGTTATTCTGCCCGAGGATGTTTACTTCTCGCTTGTTAATACGCTGCCTAAGTACACGCAATATCTTTTGTATTCATAGAGATTTACGGTTCTGATAATGTAATTTTGGTTCTTCCTTAACCGAAATTTTGAACTATTTAAATTGTGCTCATCTGAATGCATGAAACTTATTTTACGATGACTTGACTTAAGAGGACTTTTTGGTGGAATATCTTTAGCCACAACATAGCAAAACAAGCTCGGCTTTCGGTTTAAAGCGATTGTATAAATGTTGCTTACTTTGATTTTTACGCTTCTATACGTCGCTGTAGTTCATGCACAGTTTGGTTTTAACAAACCATATATATTACGACTGCTCCAACCTCGTGCTTGCGTGCTTCTCCCTTATTTGCCACCGGTCTGCTGTTGTGATTGTGCGCTATACTGCCTGACTGGTCTATCGTCGGCATAAACGTGCGTCTATTCTTGCACAGCTTGCGGTCTGACGTCAGACGCTGAAGCAAATCAGGATCTCTTTATGTGCGGTGTATTTAATATCTAGTTTTCTTATTTAACGGTTAGCCACTAGTTGCCAAAAACCGTTCATATTCGTAATACTAACTTGGACACCCGAGTTCTAGTCAAACAACTGAAGTAGCAAGTGATTTAAGACTGATGAAGATGAGTTTGCATGGAAACTGCCGTAAAATCCTTGTAAACAGTTCTTTATGCGAAAGGCAGTTGTTGGTGACCGCTTGTTGTTGACAATAGCTAGGTGGCTTGACCCTGAATGCCTGTTTTGGGGAGTTTCATTGCTACACTAGGTCACTCTTCCCCCTGACCCTCTCTCACAATAACCTTCACTCTTTAGGTTGTTACTATTTTACTGCAGCGTAGCATACGCTCATGTGTTTGTACTGATGTGTAGGATGACAAAAAGGTTTTTTCTAGCACGGTCAACGTGCCGGTTCTTGCAAGCACAATTAAAGTGATAGATGCATCGTGTACTAGCTTAAGCTTGTAGTCTATTTAGACTGGATTTGTATAGCAGCTTTCTGATTTAATGCAATAACACCTACTCGAATTCGTATTAACAATTATATATATTATATCTAATTCTAATCATTTCCCCCGAGCACCTTGATTTTCAGATGCCTGCCGACTGCATCCCCTTTCTTTTGAATTTGCATGCTATTAACTGGACCTTTCGGGGCGTCAACTTTTTGCAGTGCTTATAAAAAACGGTTCAGCACAATTTCGATTGTTTATCTAGATTGCAGCAAGCTAGCTGTCATGCGGTGACTTCCGATTAAAGCTTGAAGTGCACTTTGTCTGTTTGCCTTGGCTCCACTTGTACAACATATATATATAATTTATAATTCTTTTTCTATCGTACAATTTGCATAGTGCTGCAATGTGTGGGAAATACCATAAGCAAACGAAAAGAGGGAAACTTGAGACAAACGGTGTTCCTGGTAGTAGAAAGTCGCAACGTGTCCTCTATTGTGCGCAGTTTCTTGTCAGATTGATGAGGGTGTCTAGCCATGCGTGTTCGTGATTCTTATGCCTCTAGCCAGGGAGTCGAGAGATAAATTTGAGGTTAACATCTTCGTATTTCTGAACAAAGCTTTAACTTCGCCGACTGACTTTTGCTTTCAGTCTGTTTTTGTTCGCGTGGAAAAGCATGGCGAGGTAAACAGTGAGTAAGCAAACAAGACACGTGCCAAAAACACTAAAGTCTGCGCAGTAAAATCATGCTGCTCTGCTACTGGCATAGTCTGTCTGATCTGAAAGCTTTCGTCGAACACCAACTTTACTGTGATTATGTCACTGTTGTTCACCAGCAATGCTCCGAAGACAACGGTGACCATAAAGAAACAGTCAGTAACATGCTTTTAATGAACAGACCATGCATCGCAGCATGTGCAGCAGAACTACTTTAACAATGGCACTGTAAAGCCAAAAACAGACTCAAATCGCCTCTACGCTAGAGTTGGCAGAGATTAACAAAAACAACCCGAGCTTTGGAAACACCCGAAGAGAACTCACCCGCTAAACCGCTAGCGCTAAGGCAGTTTCTGAGGTAAACGAACATATCTACCACCTTTAGCGGATAATCTGTAAGTTTAAGGATATGTGCTGTGTCTAATTAGTCGCACGGGAAAATCTAAGCTGGGAGATAGGCACCTCCAACCTACACTAAGCGGTCTGGCTGACGTCGAAAATTACAGTGAAGTCGTCTGCATACTCCAAATCCCGAAGTAAGTTTCCTGGGAGGAGCTAAGAGCCGCTGAGTTTGCAGTTATCCCGAGGACACTCCACGATTTTGCCTACGGCGATAATGAGCAAAAGTGAGGATTTTGGACAGCCCTCTCTCACGCTACTGGTGATACAAATGTTGGGCGAAAGTTCGCTGTACACCTTCACTCGTCTAAAATTTGAGAATAGGTTTTACTCAAACTATAAATGCTGCTTTTCGTCAAACTATTCTCATCCACTGTGTTATATTTCAGATCCAACAAAGTTCCACGATCGCCTGTATTGCAGACTATCCATTCACGTGATGAAGGTTGCCTTTGTATGTGTTTTGTTCCGTGATTGCTTTTCTAGGTGACTGGTGCCAACAAAGGGATCGGATTAGCAATCGTCACAAAATTAGCTCAGGAGTATTGCCCCACAGGTGAATGGGATGTGTACTTGACAGGTATATTTTACTAAACGTAAATTTTCTGTAGCTAGAAATGCTGAATCGGGTATGAAAGCCTGTAAGGAGCTGAACGATAAAGGTTTACATGTTAAATTTCGTCAACTGGATATAACTAATTCCGCGAACCGGAAGAGCTTCTTGGACTACATGAAGCTGAACTACCCGAAAGGAATCAACATTGTTGTGAACAATGCTGGAATCGCTTATAAGGTACGCAAGATGTTTTATGTATCGTACCTCAGGGAGACTCTACTGCACCCTTCGGCGAACAAGCCCGGGTTACTGTCAACACAAATTTCACATGTACCGTGGATTTCACCCTGGAGCTTATTCCACTTCTCGCAGAAAACGCCAGGTATGAATCATTTCAAAAGCGTTCATACGTCTTAGGGTCGTTCAAGTATCCAGTACTGCTTCACATCTGACATTGAAGAAACTGAGCGACGAGCTGTACGCAAAGTTCACTTCAGCCATGAGCCTTGATGAACTGAGGTCTCTGGTGGCCGATTTCGTTAAGTAAGTGAGCAGCTGGTAACAGTTTATATTGTCGGTATTACATCCAGTTGCATTTGCAGTTATAAACACCAGCTCTTTTTAAAATGCACAAAAGGTCGAGTTAAACGGTGCATACAAGCCATTTCGCGACAATGAGTTAGCAGATATAGGTTATAAAAACATGAAAATGAATACAGAGTTCTTGCTGTTTGACTATGTATGACATCGGTTTCTTGATTGTATTTTCACTTTGCTACAAGAAACCGCAGGAAGACTGCATTTACAAAGAGTCCGTGAATGAATTATGTTATACTGTGTACAAATTCACTCAAAATCTCAGACCCGATGTAAACCAGAGAAGCTTAGTTGTGAAGCTGGGGGCCACGGCTGAGTAAGAGCAGTCTTTCACTTCTTAATGTGGCTGCTTAGATGCTCGTTTTCATCTGCGCAACAATTTGTTGGATTAAACAAAAGATACTTGCGAATACATTTCTTCACAACTATCATTTGTTTAATTCCTTCATGGGCATACTTTACGAATTTGCAGGATAAGCAAAGAGCAGTTCAGACAATGGAATTCAAAACAAGTGCATCAGTTAGGAACCCTAACCGGATGACTTTTCAGAAAGTGTTCTTCTTACACTATAATTAGGAGCTTGGCACATTGTTAGTAGGCGGCATCTGGTTCGGGATTTGCCTGTTACATCGGCCTCCTCCGGACAGCCACAGGAGGCCTGCGCCTGCAGAGGGACCATGGTTGGTTCTCACTGCAACAACCATGGATCCATCCATACACCCCATATATATAATGTAAACCCGAAGTAATAAGATCTGGGGACATGTGAAGGAAAGCCACTTTTCATAAACGGAGCCGGCCCACACTCCTACAACAAGCAGAGCAGAAGGATTCATGCCTAATTGGAAATCAGGCTTACCAGTCGTACACAAGGCGGTGGCTGGGCCATAGCCCGTTCCACACTGGGTTTATGGAACCACTCTTTGAGCCTAGCACGGCGACGAGGAAGTTGCACCCCATCCCCTCCAGTGATGACCAACTGTCCCCTAGAGCCAGTATAGGCGAGGTGGTTAGTAGAACACGGGTAAGCACCTTGTCAACATTCGCCTTAAGCGCAACCACACCGGAGACATCAAACGTCAGCCAACACTTGATTTGCAAGAACCTCAAGACCAAGGCACACGCACAGACCAACTGTAACGACGATGCGACAAAAGTACCACATCAATCACCTCATTAGTGAATTGAATCGGAAACAGCGAACTTACCAAGCGCCGCGCTGATGATGACTACACATTTAGCATACTCGTCTTCTCTCATGTCACGGTGTCCATTACTTAAAATATGGAAGAACGTAGGAGAGCGCGCAGTGTTTGCGTAACTGGGTATTTTACCTCAGAGAAGTATGTCATTCGCATATCATACCTTTATCAGTTGATCTTCAGGCGGGAGGATCACTCTAGTAAAGGCTGTATAACAGAACAAAATCATTAATATCCATCCTTATCAGGTAGTTGACGAGGAAAGGTAAGGCTTACAGCAGATCTGTCGCATTCACCATCTTGTGAGGAATGATAGTTTACATGACCCTGTTCTTAGGGTCCTGCAGTTTAGAGATGGTGTAGTGTCAAGTGAGTGAGTTGAAGGTGGCAGTAAGGATCTTTACATGACCTGATGTTCCAAAAGACGGGTGCGACCATTGGCGACAATGAATAATCCTGACAAAATCACAGGATCGCTTTCCAGTTTTTCACATCTATACTCCTGTAACGACGGCAAATGGGAGTTTTGTTCTTACACTACTGAAATCAAAAGTTGCTTATGTCTTGTTAAAATTGTCAACGAATTACAAAATCGTTACTGCCTGCTATGGATGTCTCGGGAACACAACGTACATCCTCTCCGATGGTTCTTATTCAATGAGCGCAATCTACTGACAGTTTTTATACCGGATGCACATTTTGAGTGGTTCAACTTGGCAAGGCTCTGTCATTTTTGAAGGCGACTCAATTTTTTCTTTGCTATGAAACCAGAGTTAATCTGCTGTTCGTGATCGGAAGCCTAGAAATACTTCTAAGTACGAGTAACCTAGAAAAGTAAACACTGAATTCAGTTGCTGATACCTTATCGTTGCCTACACTGGCAGTGCGTACTTGATGTGATACCCAAACGAAAGGATGGGGTTGCTGATTAGATGCATAAGGCGTTTGTATTTGACCCAGTTCTAGCAAGTTACCACAAAATGCAAAGCATAAGTAATGAAGCAGGCCGAACGTGGCTTTCTAATATTTAAATGTCGGTATATGTTTCTTGACCGCGAGAAACTTTAGATGTCGGGTTCATGAGTATTCGCTATGTGTCTTGGGTCACAGTTGTGGTCATAGTTAACTTTGAAGTCAGCCTGTACCATTCCGAGCACTGAGGCTCTATTCAAAGTGAAGGGTTTTGGGTTTGCTTTCTTCCATCCTAGCACACCGATCGATGATTACGTCCCAGGTTTGACTAATTGGGAAGAGCAAGCCTGACTTGGGAATGGAACTAGCTTTGTCCAGCTAACATAGCTCAGTGGCATATTGCTCGTGACTGCAGCCGCCAAACACCAGGTGCCGCGTTCCACTCCTAACTCAAGATACATCTAACTGTTGAATGAAAAAGGAGGAAACTGCCGGTTGTGGAGTACAAGAATAGGATAGGGAGGCTGTAGATATGTTTTTATTGTCTTGATTCGTATCACTCGGTGCTTATGTTGTTGAATATATGTGTAGTGACTCACAGATTCCTCGTATGACTGTGTAAATTATTCTAAAAATCAAAAATATAACTTTTATGTATTAAGGGATCAAGCTGCTTGCCTGTTAAAATTTTGCTCTTGTTGCAACGCAACGCATGCATCTGCGTTGGGCCAATTGGACGCGACCTTCTGCCCAGCTCATGTCCTCGCACTCTACTCACGTCCCCATCCTCCCCAGCTAGCTCTTCTCTGGTGCCATACTTTTAACTTTAGCTAATTTAGGTTTCCTCCAATAAATCTTTGCTAACTTATTTTCGTGTGTTTACCCGTGCGCACTCTGTTGGTCGCTTAGCCGCGGATCCAGTATATAGCGCAAACTCAACGCGCTATAATTGGTGACTCCGCAAAAATTGGTGAGTTACTTACTAATATTTCTTTTCAGATCCAGTAACTCGTCCTGCGTACCAAGCTAATTTGCCTTTTATTATTCCCTTCATTTTCAAGAGCCCCGTAGGTTGAACCATAAAGGTTATTCAGCCAGATTTTGTCGACCAGGTTATAAAAGACAGCTTAGCTATCCCGCCCTTCCGTAAACTTGATCCTGGCTCCTGGTTCGTCCAACTAGAACCTCAGTTTTGGTTGCTGGGGGTCAAGTCCGAATGGATTCTGTTTCACTAGCTAGCAATCTCGCTGCCGCCATCTATCGTTGACGACATTCTGTATCTGCCAGAGAAACAGGAAACTTATGAAGCATTCAAGACTGCTGTTCTGAAAAGAACTGGCTTGTTTAACAGACAACAAGTTCTGAATTTTTGAACGAAACCTAGCTTGGCCATATTAAATCAACTCAGCTGTTGCGCAAAATGCATGGCTTAGCGAAACACTTGACCGTAGGCGACGCGTTTCTCCGGGAGTTGTATTTTCAACGGTTACCCCGCGAGATATATAACGTCCTTTGTGTGTGTCTAGACGCGCCGCTGTCCCGGCTGGATGTAACCGTTGACCGTCTCTGGGAATCTGGCGTCCAGATTTCCCAGTCTCAATCCACCTCTGGTATCTAGTGGGCCGAACTGAAAGCACAAAACGTGGCGCCTACTAATCGAATAGAAAACTATACACCGCCCGAATCCAGCCGCCGTGATCGTTTTAGCAATCGCCATTGTTCACGATCACGTTCAAAATCTCCGCCCAGGTAATCCTATTTCTGGTACCGAGAGCGAGTTGGTCGCCAGGATAGGTCGTGTCATCCGCCCTGTTCCTTAAACCCAATACATAAGGAAACGGGCGACCAGTACGTGGGGGCTACGGACGTTGCTGGCTGTTACAGTCGCGTCTTCTTTGTCACTGATCGGGAACCACGGGTTCTCTACTTGGTGGGCACTGGTTGTAAAGCTAGCGTCCAACCTCGAAATAAGAAAGATCTGAATGCGACGAGTATTTCACTGCGCGCATCCAACGGAATGACCATTCTCGTGCACGGACAACACTTGCGCTTGCTTACTATAAGCTTATGACGTTCTTTTAAGTGGAGTTTCCTCGTCGCACATGTTCGGACGCCAATCCTTGTTCTTCATGTTTTGCAGCACGTTGACTTGCTTTTTGACGCGAAGCAACTCCGTCTGATCTATCGCCAAACCAATCTGCCAGTTATAGGTAGGTTGACCGACATTTAGTTAAGCAGTCTTGTATACGCTCTTATCGAGCTCAGTTATCAATTGGATGCTTCTGAGTGAATTCTCTTAAGTCTTCCGTGCAACAGCACCGTTACCATCAGCAACAGATGCTGCATCGCCTCGTTATCAAAGGTCCGCCTGTTTTCGCCAAAGCTAGGCAAATGATCCCTGACAAGCTAAAGATCGCTCGCGCAGTGTTTGAACACATGCATGAACTAGTCGACGTTCGCGCGTCTAAAAGCCCGTGGGCGTCACCGCTCCACATAGTACCCAAAAAGTCAGGAGTCTGGCGTCCATGTGGTAAGTATCGCGCGCTCAATAACGTTACTATTCCCAACCGCCATCATGATGATCACATCCTGGACATCACGGCTAGCCTGCGCGGCACCCGTGTGTTCTCGAAAATCGATCTGGTTGTCGCTTACCACCAGATTCCAATCGCTTGGAAAATATATTGTCGACTGACGTAAGCAGGTTGGTTGGACTCTTCGAGTTTTCGCATATGTCCTTCAGTCTTCGCAACGCAGCTCAGATTTTTCAAGGATTCATCGATTCAATCACTAGAGGTCTAGATTGCTTCTATCCATACATCGACGATAGCTTAGTTGCAAGCGCTTCTAAAGAACAACACGCAGAACATCACAGGCGCCATGTCGATAGGCTTGCCTCTAATATTATCATTGTCAAACTTGATAAATACATGTTTCAGCAACCTTCCATCAAATTTCTTGGCCACCATATTGATCAGTATGGCATACGGCCTCTAGACGATAGTGTCAACGCCAGCAAGCTTTCCAGTCCAGACTATGTTAGTTGATATTCGCTGTTCCAACGGCATGCTCAACTAGTATTGACGTTTTCTTCCACCATGTGTCAA